CTGATCCAAGACACGCAGAAATGATCATCAGACAATTGAACTTGGAAAATGCGAAAAGTGTGGTGACACCATCGGAGAAGAAAAGGCGCAGTGAAGTGCTGGCATCGGTAGGTCTTCCACCGGTGACAGCAGAACAGACCACACTATACAGAAGTCTAGTGATGAGAGCACAGTTCCTAGCACAAGACCGTGCAGACATAGCAGAAACAGTGAAATCACTGACGAGAAAGATGAAAGCACCAAACGATGCAGACGTCAAGGACTTGAAACGATTAGGTAGATACCTGGTCGGAAAGCCAAGGGTCGTGTGCACCTACGAACCTCAGAGGACACCCAAGGTGATTAAAGTCTACACTGACAGTGATCATGCGGGTTGTCTGTTGACGAGGAAAAGCACAACAGGATTCGTTGTCATGATGGGACAACACTGCATCAAACATGGATCGAATCTCCAATCGACCATTGCTCTGAGCTCGGGAGAGAGCGAGTTTTATGCACTCGTACGAGCATCCGCAATTGGTTTGAGCATCAAAGCGCTCATGCAAGATTGGGGAGCCGAAAGGGCATTAGAGATCTACAGCGACAGTCGCGCTGCACGCGGTACAGCGAGCAGGCGAGGTCTCGGAAAGCTAAGACACGTCCAGACCCGTTATCGATGGATCCAGGAACGTGTGGCTGAAAACCACCTGCGGATCTGCCCGATCGGTACAAAGAACAATCTAGCCGATCTATGTACGAAACCCATAGGACGCGAAACTTGTGAGAAACACATGAAGAACATGTGTCAGGAGTACCGTCTAGGGAAAGCTGTTGGAGCAAAGAAGTTAGAATCAACAAAGGTGTAGCAAAGCTAGCACCTGCGTTGAAGGAGGGGTGTTGAAATTTACACCTCCACATAAGTGTTACACAACCACTGTGTTGTACGTATGTTTTGGCTCAAGGGTAAAACAGTTGAGTGTGCTGTTTGCTGTGCATATTTTCTGAAAGGTTTGGCTTGGGCATGAGAAGATTGCACTTAGGTGCGATGATGAGCCATCAACTTTGAGTTTGTTGGAGGCGGTTCGAAAGGCTTGTCGAACTATGGGCATTGGTGTTGATGTTGAGACTGTTGTCCCAGCAGATCATGCAGCAAATGGAGCAGCAGAAACCACTATAAACGTTTTGAGGAGACTTGCTGGCGTGTTTGTGACTCAGATCGAGAAGGCGCTTGGCATTGGTATGACAATTGGTTCAATGCACCCTTTGTATTCTTGGTCTTTGGTTCATGCTGCATGGATACACAATAGGTTCACGGTTAGACATGGACAAACACCATATGAGCTTTGCAGTTCACGCATGTATACTGGTAAGATAGCCCTTTTTGGAGAAGCAGTACTTGGTTACCTGCGCACTTCACAGAAAGCAGCACCGTGCTGGACTAGAGGCTTGTGGTTGGGCAAAGCGCTCAACAACGACGCGCATGTGATTGGCGTCCCAGGTGGGAAGGTGTTTGTGACTAGAAGCATCAGAAGGTTTTCAGAATCTTGGGATGCCAAGCTCATTGCAGACTTTGAGGCTTGCACTTGGGAGTATGGGCTTGCAGCTCTGGGCTCTCAATTGGTTGCAGCAAAACGTATCACAGGACCACAGCCTTCAACTCCAGTTCCATTTGCTGTTGCTTACCCTGATGACCATGAGGCTTTAGCAGTACATGGCATTCCTGGAACTCCTGAACAGGATGAAGGCATTTTGCTTGGTCCACAGACTATGCTGCGGAGATCTTTGCCTCCTCCTCCTCAAGCCGTTGCAGCCGAGGCGGGGCAAGAAGCTCATGCTGGTGATGTGACAATGGCTGAAACACCCCGAGCGGTTGTTCCTTCAACCCCTCTTGACTCTCAAGGACTTGATGTTCCTAGCACTCCGAGGGCAGACATCTCAGAGCATGTTCATGATGCACTTGAGTCAGATCGTCCATCGAAAGCTCCTCGCATTTTAGCTATTCAAGGTGTTGACCACGAGGATGAGGACCCGCCTATTGTTCTTCAAACCTCAGACCTCGATGAGCTTGAAGCTTATGATTATAACCTTGTGGATGAGTGCGAGGATGGTGAGGACATGTTGATTTCAGAAAATGTTTCTGACCTGCATGTGTTGTGCATGCCATACACGCCACTTGAGCCAGAGTTGAGTGCCTCAGAGTTGTCAAAACTTGATGCTTTGGCTGACAAGATGGAGTTGGACAGACTTCAGGCCATGGGTGTTTTGTTGCCTGTCGAATCTTTGATGGACCAGCACACGTCTTCAGATTCCACTTCTTGCTTCAAGAAATTGAGCACAAGAATGGTGCGCTCTTGGCGCGACAAGGGCATCAATGGAGAGAGAGTGTGGTTACGCAGGTCACGCTACGTGGCACGTGAGTTTGCCTGGTTGACACCAGAGAGGCAAGACTTGTTTAGCCCAGCTTCCTCAACCTTGACAGTTCGTCTTTTACCAGTCTTGTTTTTGAAGTTTGTGTGCAAGGGTTTTGTGCTTTGCGCCATTGACATTGGCGATGCCTACCTGACAGTGCCTCAAAAGGTGCCAACTGTGGTGAGCTACACAGACAACGATGGCAAACGTGTTGAGTTTTCTCTTGGCCGTGTGCTTCCAGGCCGGCGAGATGGTGCTTTGCTTTGGCACGAGTCCATAACCAACTTTCTTTGGCAAGAGATGGGCATTGGATGCTGTGAAGCATATCCTTCACTGCTGAGGTCTGAATGTGGGGCTTGCATGATGCTCCTACACGTGGATGACATTCTTTGCTTGTGCACTCAGCAGTTTCTCAGTGATGTTTTGCGACCAACTTTGGAGCGCAAATACAAAGTTGCCATTGAGGTGATGCAGACTCCAGGTGATGAGATCACCTTTTTGAAATTCATGGATGAGTCCAACATGTTGATTGAGAGCCACCCCAAACATATCGAACATGTTCTGGATTTGTTGAATATCCGGAGGCACTTTCAGCCAAAGAAGACGCCGGCCCATCCTGAACTTGATGCCAACGATGTCACACATGAACTTGATGCTGAGCAGGCTGGCATTTACAGGTCTGCAGTAGGTACGTTGCTCTACATTGCTCCTGATTTTCCAGACTGTCAATTCACCATTCGAGCTTTGGCCCAGTGGATGGCCAAACCAACTGTTCATGCTTTCAACTGCTTGAAGTACTTTGCAGGGTATTTGCTTGGTTGCACAAACCATTGTTTGCAGTTGACGTTTAGGCCACAACATGGGTCGTACAACTACTACGGTGACTTGATGGTTTTGGAGGTTTTCTGCGATAGCGATTGGGCTTCAAACAAGCGTACCCGGAAGAGTGTCAGTTCATGTTGCATGATGCTACATGGTTGTTTGTTGCACTCGAGCAGCAGGACCCAGAGAACTATTGCTCTCAGCTCGGGAGAAGCTGAGACATATGCTGCTACCAGTGGTGGGTGCGACGCTGTTCTCCTTCGAGAATGTCTTCTTTTCCTTTTTCCAAGTGGTGAACTTGAGGTGAGGCTGTTCATAGACTCCAGTGCTTGCCGGAGCATTCTGCAGAGACAAGGCGTGGGAAAGGTCAGACACTTGTCAACCAGATGTCTTTGGATGCAACAGTTTTGCAAGCGTGGTGTGTTTTCAGTTCACCCCATAGGGACCAAGTTGAATGTGAGTGACATTGGGACAAAGAGACATCCACGTCCACGCATGCTCTACCTCATGTTTCTTCTTGGAGTGTATGATCAAGGTTGTTCCCAGCGTGTTGGCTCAGAGACCTATGACAGACTGACTTCTGAGACTTTGATTGCGTCTAGCGTGAATCAACTTCGTGCTACAGGGTTGCCTACTGGAACTTGCAAGTCGCTTCTCAGAGTTCTTTTGGTAAGCGCCTTGAGCCCTATGGCAGATGCAATGGGGCTTTCTTCAAAGACTTCTCCCGTGGTGGTCCTTCTCCTCACGATGCTAGTGATTGCCTTTGGTGTGATCTTCTGGCTTGGCTTGCGTGTTCACAGGTTGCAAGGTTCTTTGAACATGAAGTCAACACTTCTTGAAGTGATGAAAGTGTTGCATGACAACTTGAAACTCAAGGACCTTGAAGGTGAAGAGTCAGAGGAAAGCAGTGATGATGAAATGGAGGAATCCCCAAATGCTCGACGTCAGCGCTATCAAAACGCTGAGGACATGAGCCAAGTTTCTGACCCAGATGAGTGGTGTGAGATGCACTATGGCCCGCGCTTTGATGACTACGGAGTGGAGCGCGAGCTTGGTGAAATGCATGCTGCGCTGAGGACCCGTCTTGAGAGGTTGGAACGTGAGTGGGAAGAGGCACAAACCCTCAATGACTTGGAAACCATGCGCCAGCTGGAACTCCAAATCATGGAAATCAGCGCAATGCTTCCTAGGAATTCTTGATTTGTGTGGCCCTTGACGCATTGATTGGCAGCGGTTGTTTTGACATTCCAGAGCCCAGTCTGACTGGAATTTCCCGTTCAACTGAGGGGGGTTGATTAAATTTGACGCTTGATGTTGCCCCATGCGCAAGCATGACACTGCGCAATCAAGAGAGTTGATTCTCACGAGGGAACTGAGTGATAACACCTTATCATGGCAGCAACAAGACCTGAGATGTCAGGTCGAGTTGATCAGTTGTTCATCGTATGTTTGTAGTTTTGGCTCAGCAACACTTTTTGTAGGGTCAGGTGCAGACCCCTGAGGGGGAGCGTGCGGCAGTCGCTGGAGCGGCAGTGAAGCGGGCCCGTAAAGGATGACCCAATATGTGGAGAAAAGCATGTCGCTGCAACTGTACGCATTGTACGTGAGCCTGCATTCACAATCCTTGCATGGTCTACACTTCTGACTGTGAAATTTTACCTGCAGGTCTTTTGGCCAGGTTTTTGAAGATGTCTCGACAGCATTCAAGTGCAAGATACAAACATGACACATGACATTTACCAGCTGGTTCTTTTTGTTTTATTTTTTGTCAACTCGTAGCTGCTGGTGGCATGGCAACGATCCTTGAGTCGGAGGCAGCATTCAATGCACGGGCCTTGGAACACGGCTTGACAAGGGCACAGCTTGAACGACTACAGAACCAGGGCCTCACCAATCTTTCCAAGTTAGCTTTCTCCTTGACGACACCTGGAACAGTGCCTCCTGACGACGCCTTGAAGGGGCTCTTGGCCGATAACCTGGATGAGGTTACTATTGGCCAGCTTAGTTCGATCAGGAGGCTTATGTTTGACGCACAAACCCTATGTGCGTCCCAAATGAAAACTACAATCAGTGGTGCTGACCATGGTCGAAAGGCCGAACTTGTGCCTGCAGAACGTGCCACAAGGATCCAGCAACAAAGGACCCGTCTTCAGGGCATGGAACTCACAGGACCTCTTGAATGTGCCCACTCATCCTATGACTACGTGGCAAAAATGTTGGAGGCAGATGTCCCAATGTATCTTGAGCCTCATCGTTTTACCACAAGGGCAAGTGAGGTTGCCCGCGAGCGTCCTGGCAAAGAGTTGGTGCTGGATAACATCAACCTCACGGTCAAGGACGTGGAAAGGAAAGACAAATGTCAAATCAGTAATGAACTTCAGCTGCATCAGGCACTTACCAGGCGCTCTTTGGCTTGCGATCTGATGCAGGCATGCTCTTTCCGGAACATGGAAAAATGGCACAGGCATCTCCTTGATCACCTTCAGTTGCCATCGCCTCCAGGATTCCGCCAACCTACCATGGAGCAAGTCCTCAGGGCAGACCGAACAGCCTGGGTCAAGATGGCCGAGAAGGTCACTACCTTGAGGCGCCAGGGCGATGGATCCTTGCCACTGAACAGAGCGCTAGACGAACTTCCAGCAGATCCATCGATCATGTTCCACTTGATGCCCTTGCCGGTTGACAAGAGTACATCGACGCCCAAGCACACCGAGCCAAAATCCACAGCTGGCTCTGACCAAGGCCCTCCAAACATCCGGAAGAAGGACAAGAAGGTCAAACAGGCCAAGGGCAAGGGCAAGGGCAAGACAAAGGCCAGCAACAAAGGTCGTATGCCCTCCGAGCTCATTGGGCTGCACCAGCAGACCAAATCTGGGAAAAGGATGTGTTACAACTTCAATCTTGAGAAGGGCTGCAACCTTGCGGCTGCAGGACAAGAGTGCGGACGTGGACTTCATCAATGCATGCGATGCTTTGGGGCCCACTCGGCCCACCAGTGCAACTCTGCACTGGCTTGACAGTCTCAGGGAGGACTGTGCCTACCTCAGCCAGGCCAGTCCGCAGCCTCAAACAACCAGGTTGAGACCAACAAGCTTGACCAAGGGGTCAAGCGAAATTTTGAGACAATTTCTTTTTCCGAGCAGTTTTCCAGGAGGGTGCAAGACAAGTCAATTTCAAACCTTCTTTTCATAGAAGTCTTTTCGGGTACAGCAGGCCTCACGGCCGAAGTTCGACGCCTTGGCTGCCAGCACAGTACTGGTGTTGATGCCCACGTCACAAAGCAGGTCAAGGCGCCAGTGCTCCGTTTGGATCTTTCAGATGAATCTGGGCAAGCTTTACTTTGGCGGATTCTTCAACAACCCAGAGTTTTTGCAGTTCACCTAGGCCCACCTTGTGGAACTTCATCGAGAGCCAGGGAAATTAAGAGGCGTTTTGGCCCCAATCCTGTCCCTCTTCGAAATGACCAATTTCCAGACGGCTTGAATGGTTTGTCTGGTCGAAACCAAGCACGTGTTACCACTGCCAACATTTTGTACCAACTCAGCGGTGAAATCATGGCATATTGCACCATGCATGGCATCATTTGCAGCCTTGAGAACCCGGCCAGATCCCATATGTGGAACACCTCATTCTTGTGCAGGCCGTTGGAGCCAGTCAGACACATGCTGGCTGAGGTGTTGTTTCATCACTGCATGTTTGGAGCCAAACGCCGCAAGAGTACAAAGTTGCTGGTTAACCATAACTGCTTTCAACACCTGTCCCGGAGTTGTGATGGTTCACACGAACACGACAGATGGGGTCGCACCCCACAAGGGTGGGCCACTGCCCTTGAAGTTGAGTATCCTCACGGGCTTTGCCGTGAGTGGGCAGCTTGTTTACGTCAAGCCCTCCTGGCTCATGGCGCCTCTGACGTGCCTGTTGACATGCAGCTAGACACTGATGCTAGCCTACACCATCGTGCTCAGGCAGTTCTTGGCAAGCATGTTCGTGGCAAGTGCCTCAAACCATTGATGCGTGAATATGACCATATTCTACATGTAGTGGGCCCCCATGACTTGATCCATGCCTTGCCATCAACTTCGAAGCAGCCACAAGTCATTTCACCAAGCTGCTCTACGTCTCCCCCTACAACAGTGTTGCCACCACATGCCAAACGACTACAAGCCCCTATTTTACAGGGGGATGGAGAGGGGCAAGGACAATTTTGGAAAGTGGAATACGGGATTGCTTGGACTCCAGAAAATTTTGTCCAACGTGCTGCAGGCTTATCGCATCCAGGACATTTTCTGGATGGTGTCCATTCTGTTTTGGCTAGATACCTGGAAAAGATGGCCAAACAATCCTTGCATGACCTGGCTCTTGAAAGGACTTCAGCCATGAGGAAATGGACTCTCAGGTTTGAAGAGCTAAAACGACAAGGAGTGGACGGCCTTGAGTCATCACCACCCCATGCAAAGGAGATCCTCAAGAGCAAGAACTTATGCCTTTTTGCGGAGCTCATCGAAGCGTCTGGGTCGCCGGATGTTACCCTGGCATCAGACATCGCAAGAGGATTTGATCTGATGGGGTCCATCCGTACGGGGGGCGTGTTTCCCCACAAGCCGCTGTTTGCAACTTTGCTCCCTGAGCAGGTCAGGGAGATGTCTGGCATGGCCAGGATTGCAACTTGGAATGCGGTCAGGAGAGGCAGAGATAATGAGATGTGCCAAGAATTTTTTGATGCAACCATTGAGGAGTGCGACAAGGGTTGGATGCGTGGACCTTTCAGCATTGAGCAGCTTCCTGAGAGCTCCATCTTAACTCGCCGCTTTGGCGTGAGGCAGTCAGCAACACTGGCAGATGGAAGCAAGGTCGTCAAGTTTCGGCCCATCGATGATTTCTCTGAGTCTCTGATCAATACAACAAACTCATGCGATGAGTCCATCCAGCCGATGGGTGTGGATGCGATTTGTGCCACTTTGGTCAGGAGGATGCAGTCTCGCCCAGGGGACCAGTTAGTTTGCAAGACTATCGATCTCCGAAAGGCTTACAAAAACCTTCCGTTGTCAGAAGCGGCGCTGGATGATGCATACATCTGTGTTTACTCACCGGCTGACGGGGCGCCCCGGGCTTTCCAAACGCTGGTGCTCCCATTTGGAGCGCGATCAGCTGTCATGGGTTTTTGCCGCACATCTTACGCCATCTGGCGCATAGGTGTGGTGGTGTTCAATCTGCATTGGACGGTTTACTTTGATGACTTTTTCTTGGTGGCCGAAATCTACGAGTCTAAGCATGTTGACCTAGCACAACGGCTTCTTTTTATGGTTACTGGTTGGCAAACGTCAGATGAGAAAGAAGGTGGATTCAGCTCCATTTCAAGAATCCTGGGCGTGCAGATCGACCTGGGAGACTCTCATTTGGCTTCTGTTACCATTTCCAATGTTGAAAGCAGGGTGCGTGAGCTGACAACGACGATAGATGACTTGTTGGCAAAGGGTAGCATGACCACTGCTGAGATGAGGGCCCTCCGTGGCCGTCTGGTTTTTGCAGAGGCCCAGATTTTTGGCCGTCTTGCAAGTGTCCACATGAAACGGCTGTCCAGACTTGAAAGCCTGGTTGGGGAGGTTGCCATTGACCAGGAACTTGGTGAAAGTTTGATGTTTCTCAAGGACCGGGTCATCACTGGCGGCCCTCGACGGGTACTTGCATCAGCTGGCCGTGTTTTTCATTTATACACAGATGCATGTTTCGAGGAATCTGTGGGTGGTGTCGGAGGCGTGTTGTATGACCGGAATGGTGTCATGCTATCCTTCTTTTCAGAGCAGCTTCCTGCTGGTCTAGTGGACCTCTTGAACCCATGCCAGAAACAGAACTTAATTTTCGAGTTGGAGGCACTCGCAGTGCTTATGGGTGTGTCGTCTTTGCTTGATCCTTTGGCAATACAGCCGTGTGACCGTATTGTGATTTTCATTGACAACAACTCGGTGCTTGCGAGGCTGATCTCTGGCTCAGTTGGTACTGGAGTCGACCGCTTGATCTTTGAAGGGATTTTGCTTTGGGAGTTCACCGTGTGTGCGGTGACTTGGTTTGAAAGGGTGGCTAGCCATGCAAATGTTGCAGATGAACCCTCCAGGGGTGTTTACAACCACCTTGATGAAAGGTGTAGGATCAATGTAGATCCTGACATGTTTGTCAATGACCTCTTGGCTCGCTCTAGAGCAGGTCAACAAAATGGGGGGCTGGCACCTGCAGCAGAACTCCCCAAGCGTTAAAAAGATGTGTTGCTGTGCACTGAGCAACTGTTGCAAGAATGGTAAGTTGATTCTCACGAGGGAACTGAGTGATAACACCTTATCATGGCAGCAACAAGACCTGAGATGTCAGGTCGAGTTGATCAGTTGTTCATCGTATGTTTGTAGTTTTGGCTCAGCAACACTTTTTGTCCCTCCTACCAACCCCTTTGTCACCTCCTGTTTTTTTTTCCAATGTCCAACACATTTTATTTTGGGCATTTGCATTCTCTCATCTGTACATCATTTTTCTGACTCATGCTGGCTGTCCTCCGGCCGCTGACCCGTCGCTGCAAGAGCTGCTGCAGCCATTGATTCATCTTGACCGGCAACTGCAACTTGCTGCTTCCGTGGTTGATCAGCTCAAAGATTTAGAAGATGGACTTGAAACCATTGCAGCTCCCAATGTGCTCCCTTTGGTGCGTCGATGTATCCAATGGCTTGAACGCGGCATACACGAAATGCGACTGTACCGCTTCCTCCTCTTTTACCAGCTTCCAAGGGCCTTGCAACTCTCCTTTCAACGGCATCAGCGACCACCATTGATGGATTTAGATTTCAATTGAATGTGGAAGGACATCCAGTTCTTGAATCCATTTTTTTTTCTCGATTTGCGGTGCCTACCCAGCCGTTGGCTGGCACCTGCAGCAGAACTCCCCAAGCGTTAAAAAAATGTGTTGCTGTGCACTGAGCAACTGTTGCAAGAATGGTAAGTGTAACAAGTTCATTTCACATTGCATGTACAGTGAAGCCTGATTCCATAGGCGCTTCGGATCAAAAAATGTTTTCAATAACACAATAGAAACGAAGTACCAAAAAAATGTTTGGGCATCTTTAAAAACTGGTCATAAACCCGTGCAAGCCGATTTTTTGGGTCGCTGTCATTGCAGTGATCGATCAGATCCACTCATCCAGTCTATGACTCCAATCAAATGAAGGCTTGCGGTGCCCTTCAACTTGCCGCCAATGCTGAATTGGCATGACACCGTCTCAGGATTTGAAGGGTTGCTGATAAGACATGCAATGGTGTGCTGAATGAAATGGCCATGTCCATGGCGAAACGGTTGCAGAAACACCAAACGCGAGTGACCTTAGACCTGCAGAGTGAAAATGCCCATAAACTATATAGATTGAAGTAGCGTACCAAAATCCATTACAGGGAAAACGGTTTCTGGGGTCCCCGAACTCAAGTAGCTCTTACTTGACGGCAAAAATAAATGCTAATGAATGCGTTTGCATTGTGACCCGCTGCCCACAACAAATTCATAACCTAAGATAGTTCGTAGTTTTGGGATGATTATTCGGGTACGTGGTGAAGATTGCTGAAGTATAGACGGTTGGAGGGTCGTATTTGCATGAAACGTGTTTTGTCTTTCGTTTGGTTTATTGTGGGCATTCATTGTCTGTTTCGGTTGCCAGGCAATTTATTGTACGATGTTTTATTTTCTTTTATCTGAAACTTGTGTATTGAAAGCCAAATTGTTTCCAAACCATGCTGCCCAAAAGCTGGTGCACACCCAACTCGTCACAGTTTGGCACTTTGTTCGTGGCCGATGGCCGTCTATCCAGCGCCGAAAAACAAACCCGCAAACACAATTTTCCATAAAACCAGGCTGGGCCTCTTGTTTTGTAAAATGAGTCAGCTCCATGGACTATGCGAAAGTACAAACTAGTGAAGTAATTCTCTTGAAGAAATCTGTGGACAATCATGGCATTTCGATTTTGGTTGTAATTGTTTGGGGCGAGACCTTTTTTTCATTCAGCCTGAATGGTGCGGTGTATGGCAGTGTCCTTTCGGTACCGGGCAAGATATGTCCTGTGATGCAGTTGGTTTTGCCATTTCTTTTGACGGCTTGATGCGTTGTGAGTCTCGCAGTGGTTGTCCTTTGAACCACAAACCTCTCTATTCACACATTTCAAACAAAAAAAATGTTTGGTCCCATGGACACCGTTTGACCAAAACATTTTTTTTAGGATCAAAAGAATGATGTCGACGGCCATTTAGTGTCGCTAACGCGCTGGGCGCTCAAATCAAGCCAAGAGAGTATGGGGATGGCGACAAATCATCACCTTTTCTACACCTGATGGTTTTGCCATTTTAGGTTTGCAACCTTTTCGCTGTCTGGTTCTTACGGCACGTATGGCTCCAACACAGCTCATGCGACATGGGCTTTGTAATGTCTACAACAGTCTTATCACAGCGTACTGCCGGCAGTTCAGGCGTAGCATTTTTTCAATTTAGATGGTGCGTACCACACATGTTCTGTTGGTCCGGCAGTTTCTGCGATGCTTCTCTCTGCCGTGCTGCCTTGGCCCCAGAAAAACGTTCGGAACCTTCCAACTGAAGCATGGCCCGACACTGGTCATTTCCAACTCTTGTGGTGCTACTAAACCCATTTAGATCTACAGTGTGTACAGGTAAATAATCTGAAAGGAATGTGAATAATGGTATGTTAAGAAAAAAATGAAACAAAAACACTATTGTCAAGAAATGTTGCCAACGATGTTTTTTTAATCGTCGCCGTTTTAAAATGTGATAAGTGATGCGTTGTATGGGCAAAGCAACCTCGATACGTTGGCCGTTTATGTGATGTGTTGTATGGGCAAAGCAACCTCGATAGCATCGTTTGTGGCGTTGCAGATGCTTGAGACACTAATTTTTAATGGTAATTCAGTGCGGTTAGGCATGTCAAGCGAACAAACCATGAAACGATTCTGAAACAATTTGTGTTTTAACTGTTAGCAACCGAATCATAACAGCACTTGTGTTGCCCTAAGCAAAACAAAAAATGAAGAATATATAGCCATGTTTGAAACCAATGAAATTTGACACTGTGCATTTACATTTCACCTTCTCGCACTCAGTTTTGGCTGCACAATAAATGCATAGTGGTGATATTGCAGTTGATGTGTCAAGAGTTTGGAGGCCAAACTTGATTCGCAAAGTCTCAAAAAACACATGTGAAATGAAATGCAGCAACCGTCATTTGTTTGTTCCCCATAAAATAACAAAAATGGAACATGGACCCTTCAAAGGGTTGGACCACCCATCTATTTGGTGATGTTTCAAGGATGACAGCAATGATGGCTAAGTACAATATTTTGTGTTTTGTGGGTTGTATGTAATTACTGGTCAATCACGTTTCTGCCGTTTGCAGCTGAACATGTCAGTGTCAAACAATGTGCCAAGGTGCGGAATTTACTGTGAGTGCCGTTGCACTAAGCAATACTGAAGGTTGTGTCACTGTACTTTCCATGTTTTCCCGTACGAGAAAACCAACTTGAGAATCTGAAATCTGAAGGTTGTTTGGATATTTTGGATGCTTTATGAAACGCATTGACTTTGTTCCACGCAACCTGCCGGTTTTGGGTAGTAACGGGTAGTATTCATCAACCCCAAGGATTGATGGTCCGGGGAGGCCAGAAACAAATCTGCCAGGCTGGACTTGCCACAATGGCACCAAGATTTGCAGCAGCTTCACGGCCGGATTGACCAGGCATTGGAGAACCAAGGGATTAAAAATCCAGCAGGAGATGGGATACAAAATGAAAAATGGCAACAGAAGGTCAATATACATACAAGGGGACTTGCTTATATACTCCAATTTGTTGTCCTTTTCATTGACTGTGAGAGCAAACACTGTTTACGTTTCCGACACAGAGACTTTGATGTATGGCTGCAATCATACCCATTGAAACCAAACTAAGATCCAACTGTATTGCGCCCTAAACATGAGGTTTCTTATGGTGTGCAATCCCACTTTGCATTTTGTGAAGGTTGTACAATCCTTCATTTCTGCTCAGTCAGAACAGTGCCGGTCTTAGCATGTTGAATTCAAGGGTGGAGGTCTCTGCAACAATTACCATACAAGTTCAAAAGAAACACTTGTGTGTGCAACTTATGGGGTGTCATGGTGGTGGGTGTCATTCTGGTTTTGTCAGTTCTGGCAATTTTGTTTGTTTTGGTTGCTTTCGTTGTTGCGGGTGTTGCGGCTGTTGTTTTTTTGATGCTTTGATGCATATATATATATATGTGTATATAATATAGTACAATATATATATATGCATATATTTGAGGATATATAATATATGTGTTTTGATGCTTTGCCTGTTGCTGTTGTGGCCGTTGTTGCTGTTCTTGTTGATGTTGTTGTTGTTGTTCTTCTTCTTCTTCTTGTTCTTCTTCTTGTTTGAACTGTTGCTGTTGCTGTTGCTGCTGCTGCCGCTGCTGCTCGTGGTGCTGGTTTTGCTGGTTTTGCTGGTTTTGCTGGTTTTGCTGGTTTTGCTGGTTTTGCTGGTTTTGCTGGTTTGCTGGTGGTGCTGGTGGTGCTGGTGATGCAGGTGTCAGTGTTGGTGTTGGTGTTGTTGGTGTTGTTGGTGTTGTTGGTGTTGTTGTTGTTGTTGCTGGTGGTGGTGATGGTGGTGGCGGCGGTGCTGCTGCTGCTGCTGCTGGTCCTGTGCATGTGTGTAGCTAAGGGTGGAATAAATCATCAAATCCATGCAATTGCTTGATTGTGTCCGTCATCGGCAGTCAGGTTGGAGTCCATTTTTGCTGAACTGACCTCGCAAATGGAAACGATTGCCTTTAAGGACTGAAACTGTTGGGAAAACGTGTAGTGAAGTATTTTTGAATTGCACTTTGAACATCTTTGATCATCTTTGAACCATTGTTTTTCCTGATCCGGAAGGTTGTTGAATCCTTCGCTTTACATGGCCTTGATCACAAATTGCACCAGGAAAATCATCTTGTGGAACTTGGCGATTCCATCTCTGGATTTGTGGAGGCCGTTTTGCTGTGTGAAGAATGATGCACTTGTGGCAACTTGTGATGCAGGTATGCAGGGCCCCTTTTTTTGGGTAGTGGTCATACGAGTCTCAAACCTTGAGAATGATCTGAACCCTGTGCAAAAGAACAAGGAACATACATGATGGAACACAATGAAACTCGGGCTTGAATCAGATATGCCATGATAAGACATTTTTTTCAAAACCACTATCTCGGGGGTTTTGCATTTGTTTTGGATTGAATTCTGTTTCTGGTTCCATTGTGAGGAAAAGGCAAGAGATCTTGGAATGGTCGCGGCTGATGATGCACAACAAGAGGCCATCGGATCGGACCTGTCTCGTTTGAACAAGAAAGTCGTTGCAAGACCGCAGATACTGAAAATTGTCACAAGGGGCTTCTGAAAATCACTTTGACGCACCTTTTTTACAGATTAAACAAGGGAAATGCATGAAGAGTTGATCAGTCTTCTGATTTGCCCCCAATAAATCAACCCGAAACATGCAGCCAAGAAGCTGAACAAGGAGGCACGCTGCATCCCTGAGGGCCATCTAGTGCTCAAATGCAAATGGCCTTAGTTCTAAATTAGGTCTTTGCCACTTCATGTTGGCGCTTACTTAAGGACTGGCGCGGTGCTAACAAGCCAGACTCTGTAAATTCGGGTTTCCACAGAAGTTTGCTTCAGAAGTGTGTTTCGATCCCCTTCCAGGAAGTCGAGGAAAACCGCACCAATCGATTTTTCTTCAGACTTTGAAGCAGTGACATTCTGACAAATCTTGAATGGATGCATAACCCCTGAAGGAACAGATGCATGTGGCCGCGGTGCTTCTTCTGAGCCAAATTGGGAGTGTTGGAGCTGTTGGAGCTGTTGGAGCTGTTGGAGCTGGAGCAAAGCGATCATCTCTAATTCGCTATGAAATCTCTCCCGCTGCGAGCCTTCTGACGGCTCAGTCTGAGCCGGTCCAACCAGTCCAACCGGTCCAACACAGTGCGCACTCGGAGATCGAATGTTCAGACTGCTGCAACGATGGTCAAAAGAACGTTCCCTGTGCCGATGTTGAAGAATGTGCCAAGACAGCACCAAACACCGGCAAGTATGCATTGATTCTGTCCTACGTTGGAAAGATGGGTCTGGAAGCCCTCCCCTTTCTGGAATCTGCCAAAGCAGCGGCAGAATTGGCCAACAAGGCGGCTCTGTGGGCAAGAACAAGTTGCTCAAGGGCTCTAACAATCTAATTTCAGAAAACTGATGTTGAGTGATGGCAATCATTCCTCGCAATGCAGCCAGAGAGGATAAGACCCGGCAACCTTCTAAGTTGTTTTTTTTTTTTTCAATCAGTGAGTGATTTTGCCATAGTATCATCAAAACTCACCAACACATACCAACACGCTGTCTTGACTTGAACAAGCGGGACAGCTTGACACTTGGTTTCGTTTGATGCAGCTTAGGCAGATATCCTTATTCTTATGATGAAGTCTGATGCGGTCACCATGAACATCTCTGTGCGCCAGAAGTTGCAGGAACAAGGTGCCTTTTGTTGTGATTTTGCAGTCCTTGTGCAGTCGTTACTTGGGGTGTCCTTTGTTTCATGGCCTGTCCTGGGAATATTCTCTGATGCATTTGCTAGTCAATTGCACATCGAGTAAAGTTTCACTTGAAAGGCAGACAACAAGGGATGAAAGCAATACGCCCGAGGCTCTCTGAACAAGTATTATAACCAACTTGGACCAACTTGGATAATTTTTGGTGTTCAAGTCTCGCCGATTCATTGCAGATTTTGGCCAAGGTGTTCAAGTGCATGTTGTTGACTGGGCATTGCCGCCGAGCATGAAATATATCAAGCAGCAGAACTGGTGTGGACAGAAGGATTTCATCCGCTTACATGCTCTAGGACCAAGCTGGCGAGAATGAAACAAAGATTTCGCACACACACAGATGCACTAGAGTTATCACTAGTTATATACATGTGGTGATCTGTGGCGATCTATGACGATCTATGGTGATTTATATCTATGGTAATGGTAATGGTAGTGGTAGTGGTGGTGGCGGCGGCGGGGGGGTGGTGTTGGTGGTGGTGGTGCAACCAAGCGTGTTTTACTAAATTTGGGCTCGGGAGAATAGCTGAATCTGGCAGTGCTTTCCCTCCACTTCACCCTGAAACTCGCGTGAAGGACTTGATAGCTATGATGCAGTGGCATATTTTGACAATGACATCGAGTTTCAGGGCGACATCACCCCCGTTCTCAGATGCGCTTCTGCAGGCAGGAGTGCAAGGATGCAAAGACTGGTTTGCAACTAGTTGAAACTATGGATCATACCTCTGGTCATGTGGTGGATTGTGACGGCATTTTGAAGACATTCGCATGTGTCAGCAGCCTTCGGTTCTGTTGGCATTTGTGACCAGGCAACTTCTTAACGACTAATGGAGGTTTGGGGGAGGCGCTCAATGTGGGCTTCTTCGCTCTCAAGCCTCACCGCTTGCTCTTGCAGGTGCCCTCAGGATAAGCCACATGTAACCACGCTTGCCATCGGGTGTATCTTGTGTATTTCTAGCAGGAAACACTAGGAAACGACTGTGTACGTGGTCCAAACCCTGCCCACACGCCCCGTCACGCTTGCTAAAATATTGGGACGGTTCGGTTAGATGTTTTTTTGATGTTTTTTGTCACCTTCTTTTGCAAGGGAGGAAAAGGCTCTTGAAGATTTGAATAATTTCTTGATGCTTTTCGAGAATAAATCACCCGGCACACGACACAAAGCTGCTCTGAGCGTGCATTCCTTGAGGCAGCTGAGGAGTTTGCGAAAGAAGCAGACTACTCTGAGCTCAATGGCTGGGCAGAAGAAGGGTGGAAGCCATGCAATGGTTACTATGTTGGAGGAGAATGTGGACAAGGCTTCTTTCATACCTTATTTTACAAGAGACAAACCATTTTGAAAGAAAAACTCCTGGGAGCTGGGCAGAAGTGGAATCCGCTCCAGATCGACAAGTGCATCTGGAACTATCAGACCACGTTTCAGTGCGACAGGGATTTTGACTGTTCTCGAGTGCGCGTGCATCACAAACCAATGAAGCCTGGTTCTGATCCCCGTGAGTGTTTGAAAACGAAGGGTAAAGTCCTGGCATCGAAGACGTCAAGTCCAATCAGTGCGACGAGCCACTCTTTGGTCCGGTTGCTCTCCACAAATGAACCTGCACGTCACAAAGATGGTGACAAGACGGCCCGATTTGGATTCTACTTTCCTGTACATGATCAAGTAGAAGGTGTCATTGAGGTTTTAAAATCAGCCAGGCACTTCTATCCGGAGGCGCCGATTTATGTCCTGCAGGATGGTGGCTCTGTTGATTTCGGCCCTTTGTGCAAGCTGCCAAGGCAGGAAGGCCAAAAGTGTAACAGATTATTAGTCTGTATAGGTAATTTATGTGTTTCGTGTACGTGCATATGGGTCTCAGCATAGCATTTGCCTTGCTTTCAGGGCTCTTTAACCCATAGGTAAGTATGTTTGGAGCATTGATGTCGTATGGCGGAGAAGTGGCCCCTCCTTCTGTATGGTAACCTCCTGGAAGCGCAGTCCTGAAGCTCAGAAATTAATCCTCATTGTCTTGAGCTTCAAAGCAATCATTGACTTTTCATAGGAGCCGAAGACTTTGAAACTTAGAAGACTGAAGTGAGAAGAATGTGATCGTGAAAGACACAGGGATGTTTCTGCCCTGAAAAGGTTTAATTGCACTTTCGAACGAGCGCCTGGTGAGAACAGCCGGTGGAATCCACACTCTTGGTTCGCCCGGATGAGAAACGCCACTGAATTCCTTCAAACAGAGTGACTTGGTCAGCTTCCATCTGTGTAAACGCCCGGTTTCTGTGGATCCCTTGCCAAGATTTGTTCCACAAAAGGCTCAAATCTTGATGGTATGCACGGTATGCACGGTATGCACGGTATGCACGGTATGCACTTTATGCACGATGCACTGTGTATTTGCTGCATGCCGCCATCGTTGCTTATGTGGAGCCTAAACAGGTGTGTTTCTTGCGATTGTACCAGGTATGTCATATATCTGGAACCAGATGTGAAGATCACTCGGCGACATATCAGAGATCCACTGAATGATGTCATGGCCTCAGTGTGAAACGAAAAGGATTCAAGGCTGCACGGATAAGATTGGCATTTCTTAGCAGCCTTGTTTGTGATGAATGGAATTTCTTTCAAGTCTTCCAACCATTCCCTGTTGCTGCTGCATCCGTATTGCCGCGGCGACCCTTCAAGTGCTTTCGCAAGTCCGAGGCTGGAGGTGTCTATGACAATTTTAACCCCAGCATGAGCACTGAAACCAAGGCATATCTGGAAGCTTGAGCAGTTTCATGTTTTTTTCTTTTACTGTGAAGTTTCTGCAATAGTTCCAAGAGGGTTCCAAGAGGGTTCCAAGAGCTGGCAGTGGAACAAACTTAAAGAATCTTTGGAGCTCTTCATCATTGCTGAGGAAAGACTGGGAGGTGACAGAGAGCCTTGCTTTAATATTACCTGGACGCATTTTGGTCTATGTGGTGGATCCTACTTTCGGTCAGAAGCAATCCTGGATGCTTTCAAACCAGAACATGTACTGCGAATTGACTGGAAGAAGCTCAGAGAGAAGGAAGGTGACCGTTCTGAATTGGAGTTTCGCACCGTAACAGACACAGTTTGCCAGACCTCAGTGCCGTTTTCGGTACTTGTACGGCTTGTTGCTCTCTCAACATGCTTTTCTTTTTGTTTCCCGATGCCTTTTCCCCAGGTGACAAGACTATGAGCAGCGACTTCGCAATGCTTGTGGCTCTTTCTGCACGAGCTTGGACGGTCTACCCGTGGGAGGTGGGCAGCTATTGATGTTGAATCCAAGGAAAGAAAAGAGAATATCATGTTCGTAGCCGATTCAGTTTGACATGTATTTATCACAGCAGTTTACTGCGTACCTGAAGAGTTGGTTTGGTCATGTTGGGCTCCCACTTGATTTTGAAATCGCGCAGTTTTCTTATGCTGAAGATCTATTTTGGGTCATTTGCGCGGACCAGAATCAAGACTGACATGTCCCAAGCATATATCAGGGAAAAAGAACTTGCGAAATCTATGTGCCACTGAATGAGCCCCTGCCATGACTTAAGCGGGGTGGGTTCACCAGTCTACCAACCTGGCAGGAAAGCGCTCAGTACTTCAACGATGCCCCAAAGGATCCATCCCATCTTTTGCAATTTCAGAAACGATGGCCAGCATTCAATGCATCTGCTGCCTTTCAGCACAACCACAAGGACTTGCTGCCACAATGTTGACACAAATACAGTGTCGAGCTGAAACCTCTTCAGTTGAATGTGATCGTTACTGTAAGACTAAGAGACTGAACATCTTCAGTTTGTGCACATTTTTCTTCTTGATTTGTCCACTTCTCAGGAGTTGTACCATGCAAATATCAGCAACGACGAGAGAACGGTTGTTGCTGCATTTTCCGACAGTGCAGCCGACACCACTTGTCATGGCTGCGTTTGGTACAAGGACAGCTGGTCAGACGTGACATTTGGAGCAGTACCCGACGCTCAAAAGTGATTATCTTTGAGTTGACATTGGCGGAAGGATGGAAGACCCCAGTCGCGGATGCGCATTCCGAGTGATCCTCCAAACATTGAAGGCAGGCACAAAGTAAACAACGGTTGATCTTCAAGCATTGATATTTGTTTCTGAAATTGGCTTTGATTTTGCTCAAAGCAAAAACGACAAACAAGGTGTTGTCAAAATAGCTCTTCAGCACAGCAGAAACAGGTGAATTCAGCTTCACTTTCTCTGGTGTGTTGAATCGCACAGCCTGCGCGACCGCCAAGAGTTCACTGCGGCTTGCCTGCACAAGTTGCACTTGAAAGGCATTTGAATCCCAGCTTTCCCTGCTCTTAAATTAAAAGACTTGGATTTTTTTGTATTTTCTTGACTCTGCTCTGTTCCTGCTGTATCTTTCACTGGAAGACCTGCAGGAGGACATCTGTCACAACACCCAAATGGAATGATGATGTCGTATTCCTCCCCGGTTTGGGCGGATGGATGTGTCTGCCAAGGCACTTCCCCGGCTCCTTGCTGGCTCATCCGGACTACATCCTAAATGCAGGCAGTGATGGATTGCCGCTGGCCAAAGATCACCCATCGTGGCTGCTGAAAAGCGATGCTTTGGTGGTGGATGCAAGGCGCAAGGACTCACCCTGATCGTTCAAGTTGTAGGCTGCACAGCAAGAGATATTCTGATTCATCAGCAATGCCTGTTTTTCTCTCTCTTTCCTGGTCACACTTCTGAAAACCAAACTCAAACATCACAACTCCCAGCGTCACTTACAGATCGAAGGGCCATTCGTAGGCATGCTTTTGTTTTTCAAAGATGTTCAAAGGTGAAAGTAAATTCTCGAGGCTTTCAAGGGTTCCTGGCGTGTCGCTACCTCCAGGATGGTGGTGGCATGCTCATCTTGCAGCCTGTCTTCATGGAAGCAGGTTGCTTGACTGCAACTCATGAACTGTAGAGGATCTTGCGAATTTTTGCCACTGGTTGAGAGAGAGTCCCAGCCATTTTCTTCAGATAAAATAGTTGCATAGTTGCATGTCTTCTGACTTTGACTTCCAAATGTCATTTTGCCAGACATTCAAGCGCACCACTTTCATGCTTTTCTGCTAGTGCCGCTGCAAGGACCGCTGTGGGGTCAAGCTTCGACTCCTCGCCCTCGCTGGTTGCGCTCAATTTTGGCCACCAACCGCCTTCATGCACGCAGATATGGTCATGCAATGGTTATCAGGATGGGTGCTTGGGGTGCTTGGGGTGCTTGGGGTACTTGTGTCATTTTTGGGAACTAATTTCAACGCTCTCCGCAAACTGTCTGGTGCACTTTGACTTGATGTGATGCTGCGGTGATTTTCCTGTTTGAGCTGGTACGAACATGCAACACCAGCTGACATGTGCCTCGTGACTTGTTTGGTTGCGGTCTTTGGTTTCATCTCAAAGGTACGCGTTCAGCCAAAGGTTGCTCAGAGGTCCAGCGCTGTCAGGTGGTTGCCGAGCAAGCCTCAGCTATTGGATTGGCAACGACAGCAATGTGGCGATCTGTCTGAGAAGGCATGGTCCAACATTTTCACAAACTCCATGACGGGAGGGGAGTACCTTTCAAGTAATCTGGGAGATCAGATAGGGGACAGTGCATGAAGTGAAACAAAGTAAACAAAGTAGACAATTTCCCGTAATACTGTTATAGTTATAGTCATAGTGTTGTGAGCATAGCAGAGTTGAGAGATCCTTGTATCCTTGTGTTATTCTGGTAGAAAGACAGCCGGATTATGGAGTGCAATGATCCAGTCTTTGCGAATCGCAAACGGATGAAGGAATGCACGAAGCAAAATGAGCGGGAGAATTTCAACTGGGAAAAGCATCGCATGTTGCAGGACCAGAGTTCCCCGTTTGTACAGAGTTGGCAGGTCGCTTTGTATCTTTCTGTTTCGGAAAGTGGTTTGTCCTTCAGCAGCACCAAATTCCTGCAACTGATGGGCGATGTGCAACGAAACAATTCGAGCAGCCAATGAGAGGAGTACCTTGAAAGCTCCCAGAATTTCAGCCATGTGATGATGTTAGCCCGAACCTCAGGAATGGTTGCGTTTTTTTTCTCACGCGTAGTAGGCACATTGCGGGAAGCGACTCCCAAAAGTGTTGGAAGTGCAGAGCCATCATTGCCCAGGATGCTGATGCTGCTTTGGTGCGTCATGAGCACAACATTTTGGGCTCTGTTGCAAAGCAGCTAGCTATCCAGAACCGACGCATGGCGGGTCTAGTCACACTCAAGAGATTTCCCTTGGCACTTGCTCCGCAATGTCAGCATGGATAGGTCTGGCTAGGGCTGTGCAATCAGCAACAGAATCAACAAGTTTCCTGATTCATCCTGATTCCAAGGAGATATTTTCTTCACCAATGAAGATTGGCTGGAGTCTGGTTCGAAGAGGACGAGTCTGAAAGCTGGATTTCCCATTCTCTGTCACCGTCAAAGCACTTGGAGTCTCTGGGTGGTAGCACTCACTTGGTTTAGAACAAGTTTGTCCATCTAGCTTTCACATCTTACACAGTATCTAGTTTTCAACACGGCAAATGGAGTCCCTTTGTCATACAGGGACAGATCTCTGATCTACCAACTTTCAGGATCAATGGTGGCGTAATCTTTGCCCGCAACAGGCCATTTGCTAAGGTTTCTGGGTCAGCAGTATGTGGGCAAGGAATCACAAGAAATGGCAGGGATAGTTGTCACCACTTGCGCAACTTTGTTGTGTTTCTTGCTTCATGTGATCGTCATGATTCATGATAGCCGAATATAGAAGAACATGAGTTCCTGGGAGACGTCTGTAGCTGGGGCCAGGGACCAGGCTGTTCTCTTTGCCAAGGACCTTTTCAAGGACACCGTTGATGCTCATTCCATGGGTCCTCAAGGCTTAGCAAGTTGGCGCATTGGCATCAAGGCGTGAATTGTGCGGGAAGATGGTGTGAATGGAAGCATCGCGGGCTGCATGGCAGCGGCAAGGATTCCCAACGACAGTTTCCTTTTTTTACTCTATTGTTGTAGAGCGGTGGAAACGTGATGGGGCAATGTGACACCGCACTGATTTCAGCCTGAACAGATTCCTTGATGGTCAGATGAAATGGCAAATGGCGTTCACCTCTTGTTTGGCTATTCAGCAACGTAGGTTTTACCCAGCCCCAAACCAATTCTTGACTCCCTGGTGGTCAGTGCAAGCAGTATATGTAGGGCTACAAGATCCTGGTCTCCGCTCTGCTTTCCCTCACATGCCAGAATCACCAGTGCACCAGCAACGAATTCTTGACTCCCTGGTGGTCAGTGCAAGCAGTATATGTAGGGCTACAAGATCCTGGTCTCCGCTCTGCTTTCCCTCACATGCCAGAATCACCAGTGCACCAGCAACGAGCAGATTTGCTTGAATGATGCTGGACGCTGAGCAATGCCCACCCTTGCAGATACACTCAAAGGGCTGTAGCCAAAGGTGTCAGAGGGAGGACTGAGAACCTTTGCATGTCGAAACTGTTTTGTTCTGAGCATAGGAACGACATTGTTGCTGTCCACAGTACTTACATTTGTGATAGTTGTATGATGTTGGACGCTGATACACATGAGTCTTTCATTGACGTCCTAGTATTGTGGATGGCTTGGTGCCCAGGCAATGGATGCAAGCTCAGAAATGAGAGCTCACGTTCTTCTGGCGTGCCTTGAATATAAAATATTTGACCGCCCTGAAATCCCGTTTGAAGGGCTACCACACCCATTGGTGCTGGTGCTGGTGCTGGTGGTGGTGGTGGTGACGGTGACGGTGACGCTGACGATGAAGATGATGAAGATAAAGATGAAGATGAAGATGATGATGATGATGATGATGATCCGCACTTCTTTTACTGGTCCCAAGGTCCCCCAAGGTCCCAAAGTCCCCATATTGTTCCTTCACCGCCTCTAGGCTGGTGCTCTCTCCACCTTGCCATCGATTTCTAAGGAGCGGAATCCGCTACAACCGGGGTGGTTGTACTCTTCGTCACTGTGGCGAACCTATCAGTGACGAAAATCTGAAACTGGGCCTGGATGACCCCCGCCTCGAGATCCTTCATTTCATGGGTTCCGACCTCGGAGTGCCACAGTGCCAAAGAGAGTTCTTAGTGTCACAATGTAATCTGGATGGAGATAGATATGGAATGATATGGAGATAGCATGAGATAGCATCATTTCTGCTGAGGAGATCACACACTAGCAGACCAAGTGCTTTGCGACCGACCCGTCGATTTCACCGGTGAGGATGCAAATGGATACGGATGCAGCGTAGATGGGTCTTCCGTGCTTCCGAGCGACAAGAACTCCTACCTTTGAGGGCATTGTCTTTCTTTTGTTGCTGATAGGTGAAAATACTGAGAGTTGCATCGCTTGCACATCTTCGGAGGAAGGACGGATCCAGAACATGGTTGCAGAGGTTTAAAAGATTTTAAAAGAACTGCAGGGATCGGGCGGGCATGTACTTAGACAAGAGCTGACGAACAGGTGATCACATTCCTTGGCAGAGTGAAGCTGCTACCCTTTGACGGGAAAAGAACTATTTTTTTTTTCAGCAGCGGCCTGGGACGCTTCAAACAGGGGCAATCACGAGAGAAATCCACACCGCTCCATTACTTGTGACAATGAGTGTCAAGCTTTCCAACCAGAATCCATTGCACTTGAGGCAAATGAAATAAGACTTGGTGCCTCAGTCGATCGTGTGAAGCGACTCTGGCAACAGGCCTGGCATCATTGTCTCATGAGCGCATTCAAACTCACAAACTCGAAATGGCTGACATGGCAAGGGTTGTTCTAGGGTTGTGTGAGAAAGGCCAACATGAATCTTCTTGAGCTGGAACAAATGTTTTGACATGTTGTGACATGTTGTAACCACTGTCTGTGGGTGAAAGATGTCTGCAAGGGGTTGAAATTGCCCTCCTCATGCCAGGCGACGACGACTTTCGAATCGACACAAGCAGCCAAGGCAGGAAGGATGCAGTCACAATAAAGCGCAAGATGGACGAGAAATGACGAGACATGGAGAATGGTGAAGCTTTCCATCTTGCAGAACTTGGTGAAGTCAGGCTTACCTCTTTCTTAAAGAACGCTTCCAAAAGAATGAGGGCAAGAGCTGGTAGTTGTGCCCTGACAGAGCAAGCACTTGGAGCCACTTGGTATTGAGATTGTATTTTTTCCAACTTGTATCAGGAGCGGGAAAATACTGCGGCCTTGGAGGAGTGTCTTGCAATACCATTATGTTTGAATCTCATGCAGAGACTGCTCAGGGACCGGGCTTTTGGGTGAGCTTGGGATGCCTTTCAATGCCTCTCTATCTGTTGTTGCTTTAAAAACTAAATTGGCTAGATGGAGCACAGCAAGATTTCCTACTAATGGGGCTTGTCAGGCGGTTTCATCCTGGTCCGTTCGACTAAAATCTATATTCAATATCTGCAACTGTGCACAGCCACTGTTTGAAATTTGTCTTGGCAATGACGAGACCTCGTCAAATTACTAAAAGTCTCAGCCTTGATGGCGGCCCCAACAACAGGAGCAACGCAAGTCTCTGGAAGAGCGTGCCTTTCAGGCATGGGAAGCTGGTCAAGACGCTGATTCTTTTGACTTCAAAATGTGTTTCCAAAATGCGCATCTCTGAAAAGAACTGAGACCATCCGGATGGTTGCCGCAGTGAGAGTCCTTCAGCCCTTTGAATTCGGTTTTGAGGTCTATTTGTCAGGTTGCATGGAACAGTTTTTACTACTTTACATAGCTGAGCTTTTTCAAACAGGGACCCTGAAGGTGGATTTGGAACATCAGGAGCAAATCTCAAAGCGCCAGCTCCCAGATATCTTCAGATGCCCTTTGAGTGTGACGAGTCATGCAGACGTGATACATGAGTTGAAGCCAATGAACCAATTTAACCATTTGCAAGCAAAGAAAACACCATATTTTTTTCATGGTCAACCAGAATTGACGAAGAATGTCAGAAGCTCCCATTGATAGACATTTGTGATGAGCTCATGCATGAATATCAGATATCGACATCTCCCACGGAAATCTCACCATGTGGCTGTGATTCAAAGGCGTGACTCAGAGATCACCGCCCTGCAGCAACGCCTGGAGGCGCGGTTGTGGCCACATGTGCTTTTTGCTCGGACGAACAGAGTGCACTGTAATGAATTTCAGAGGATGTTCTGCTTGTTTTCATGGTTTTTCGTGAGAAGAATGTCATATCAGTCATATCTTGCTACATTTGCATAATCTCTGTGAACGTTCAGGCTTTGCTCGGTGAACACGTAGAGAAGGAGGATGCCAAGGTTGGGCTGGATGGATCAATGCGACAGGGCGGAAAAGAGATGTCTAGACACATGCGAAAAGAGCACCTGTTGGTAGCTGGAAGATGCTGGCTGCTGAATCATTGAGATTTTTGGGAACTAGAAGGTAAATTCATGTAAATTCCCTCGCGAATCTTATAGTTGGTGGGGTTCGCGCAAGTCAATTTGCGTGCTGAAATCTCCAATCAGACTATATCAGACTCCTTTGACTTGGAGTGATTTTGCGATGAAGGTATAAGGAATTATACAGAGCTACAGGTGGGACATGGTGGGACCATGCTTGTGACTTACTGTTTTGAAGCTCCCAGCTTGCAGGTGACGCTCTCACAGCAAGTACAGGTGAGCCTGGAATGCCATGGAATGCCATGTCAGATACGAATTGCAGAGGTCTGTCAATTTGACGGAAAGGAATGCCATGGGAATATGCTTCACTGTGGAGTTTCATTGCAGAGAGCTCATGTTGTGTCGGCACAGCTGCTAGGTCCTGCAAGAGGAGCTTGACAAGTCGCAGAAGGAATGCGAAGCTATGGCTAGGAACCAAGACCATTGCGACTTGCCAACTTTTGACAACACTTTTCTTCAATTGGAGTCCAGTAGGTTTGTGGCATGGATACGCACTTCATGTCTCTTCAAACCAATTGGACCACTTTGCCATGTATGGCTGCTACCAGCTTTGCAACGCTTTGCTCCAAGGGTTGGCAGGATTGGCCTGCCCATCAAATCTAACCGTGATGCGTCAAACAGACACCTTCAATAGACATCGTTGCTGGAACCAAAACAACGTGTCCAACTGAGGCCTCTGAGTTGGAGGAGGTGCAGGCCACGCTGCGACAAAGGTCTCTACACACACAATCCAATCCAATTCAATCCTCTCAGAGTGGAAACGTGTGGAGGGATAGGATTCTCCAAATCTGAGGTTGAGCTTCTTCACGCATTGGCTCCAGCTTTCGCCTGTTTGTGTCACGTCAAAGTCTAAAAGCGCCACCTTGCCATGTCTCTGCGCGCATCCCGCCATGCTTCCGCCTTGCGGCGGATTGCCAAAGATCTCAAGGAGCTGGAGACGGAGCCGCTGCCGCTGGTAGCTGCTAGACCCATGGATCCTGCTGAGCCATTTCGGTGGCATGTGAACCTTCGACCCTGCGACGGTCCGCTGGCGGGCTGTGTCTTTCATTTGGTGATGGATTTGCCCAAAGACTACCCCTTCACTCCTCCCAGCATCCGTTTTCCAACGCAGCACTTCCCATCTTTTCGCCATCCGAACCTGTTTGGGGATATGATCTGCCTTGATATCTTGCAGAGCTTCATCGGTCAGCAGCATGATCAGAAAGCAGGTTGGAGCACTGCTTACACTGTGCAAACAGTGCTGCTTCAGTTGGCATCCTTCCTGTTCGAGACGGAGCATGTGCCTCAAGATCATGGTGGTACTTACAAGGGCAGGATGACACCGCTGCTTGCACGAAAGGTTAGGGAGGAATGCGAGAAGTTTCAGTGCCAAGAATGTGGTCATTGTTTCCAGCAGCCGCTGCCTCCACTTCTTCCCTTGGACCTTCCTGCACCGTTGGAGCTGATAGAGCCCCCCATTGTGCCCATCGTGCCCAGGGTCCCTGCTGTGGCAATGGGGGAAGAGAAACGGCAAGTGTTGCAGTCAGGGGATTTGGTCACTGCCTTCGTTTCGAAGCTGCATTCCAAGGGCTTTGTGGTCCAGCTGCCAAACCATAGTTTCAATGGCTGGTTACCCTGGAGCTCAGCACTTCGTGGTTGCCAGCTGGCATTGGGGCAGCAGATTGTGGCCCACGTCACTGGCATCCAACGTGAGTGGATTTGGTTGCAGCTGGTGCCACGTCGTTCACAGCAGCAGTTGATGGAGCTGATGAGATCAGCCAAACCTATCCAAGGGCTGATCGTTTCCATCAAATCCTATGGGATTTTTGTGGATGTTGGTGTAACCTCTCCTGGCCTGGTCCATGTCTCTGAATTGGACGTTGATGTGGCAGAGTTGGAGGTAAAAACCTTAGTGCAAGTCCGAATCCTTGAGGTTGACTCGCCCAAAGGTCTGAAACTGACAGCCCGAGGAGGTCCCTTCCATCGCCCACAGCCAGTGAAGGATCAGGTTCGACAGGATCAAGATGATCAAGTTCACCTCCAACCGCAGCTGTGGTCACACGATTTGCCCGGCCCAGCAGCGGAGACCGTGTTGCAGCTTCTGCCCTTGGGGTCTCTGCGGCAGTTGGCCCGATGCTCCAAGACCTGGAAGCTTCCGGCTGAAGAGGCAGTGTCCATCTACTTCGATTTGAAGCAGTTGCGCTGCTTCCACACCAAGACTGCCTTTGATGAAGCAGACACTCTTCTGGGCCTGGGAGTTGCCATCACGGAGGAATCCACTGGGAAGCAACACCTCACCTGCGACTTTGATCCCTTATCCAGGGAAGCCTTCTTCGACTTGCAGGTCTCAAAAGGTGTCTGGAAACAGCCCATCCGTTATTGGATCCCATTGGCTATCTGCAGAAGTCATTTCAATCGTGGCCTCCCTAAGCTGTTGGAAGTTCTCTCTGAGCTGGGCACTGGCCAGGTGGCGGAACAGACCAAGTCCCATGGAATCGGCTCATCTGGGCGACGAATGGTGCATGAGAATCAGGTGGCTCCAGCCTCTAGCGTCATGACATTCGCGGAGTGGCAAGCTCAGCGAGAAGCACTGTTCGAACGTCAGCGTCGTGATCGACTTGCCCGGGAGGAGCGCGGCTTGAGCTTGGAGCAATGGCAGAAGGAGAAAGCTGCTGCTGCCAAAGCCCGAGCTGCGGCCAAGGAAAAAGCTGCAGCAAAAGCTGCAGCAAAAGCCGCTTCTGGAAGTGAAAGCACTGCAGTGCGCACCTTGCCGTTGGACCAATCGGCAGCCATGGATGTCTTGACGAAGCTGATGAATTCACAGATTGTTCTGCTGATGAAGGGCGACCTGCATACATCAGAGAAAGCTCTGGCAGGGTACATGGCTTTCCATCACACCTTGCTTCTCTTGAAGAGCCGTTACGAAACTTTCAATGATGCCATTGAAACAAAAGTTCGGAGCTTCTTGCAGGGCGAGGAGATGAGAAGAAAGGATCAAGTGCCGAACCTCGGGGAATTTATTTGCCTCCTGTCGGTGTCGGATGAATTCAGCTGGGACGACCTGGCTGTGCCCATCCTGGATGAAACCTTTGATCGGGGAGTCTTGTGGTTGGTGAAAGCTTTCCCCCGCTTCGCCACCATGAACGAAGTGGAGGAACGCGTGGAGAAAACCTGGGAGACCAGCAGGGTATCTCGTCAGCTGTTGATGTTTCACGCATGGTTCCTTCACCACATTGCTCACATCCGGCATCATCATGCAACTGGCGAATGCAAAAAAGCCAGCTGTTTGTTGGAGCGCTATGAGCGCACCAAAGGTTTGCCACTGCAATCCACAGTGACCGCCCTGCAAAATGCATGTCGACAATTTCATAGTCTGGACACTTGGCAGGATTTCTTCCAGGCGATTCATGTGGAGATGCCACAGCAGGCCATTTCACCCTGGCTGTTGAGGTGTGCCAGACGATCTGCAAGGAAGGGCTACCATCGTTCCAGGTGGCAATTCATGGACTGATTGACTGAAGCAACAGGCAGAATTTTGTGGAGAATTTCCACCATTTTGAGGCCAAACTGCCACGTGGCAATCGTGGCAGGCCATTTTGATCCTAACCTTTAGCACTGCCCAAAGTGCCACCGTGGATTGTCTTGGTGGGACCATAGGGGATTCTGTTCAGTGTACAGATGCAGAGGTTGTTTGCTGTACAGATCTTTAGGACTCAACATTTTGGCAGTAATGCCAGAAAGAAAAAGGGGCTCACTTGCTTGACTCTCAGAAGCACATTTTCATGGGTGAGATCTGCATGCGGACAGTGTGCCATAGTATGCCATAGTGGTAAATGTTCTACTTCTTGTAGTTTCACCTGATCCATTCAAATCACCTACCCTATCCGCGTTCCAGAGCACTGACAGGAAACCTGTCAGATTGTCAGATGCAAGACTGTTTCTATTCTATCCAACGGCTGTAGGCAACCCAAAAACGGCTGGACTACCAGTGGAGTGCAGAGCGTGAGGAGGGGGCAAGTTTGTTTTTGAATCTTTTTGATGTTTATCATTTGCCCAATATTTGCCCCTACATTGGACTTCAACGGAGTTCAAAAGCTCATGGGGGGCGATGATGACACGAAAAAGAATTCTGGGAAGCCTCGGAGAACGATGGTTGAATTGTTGTGCTTTGTTTCCTCAGGATCCCCCAGGTTCAGTCAACATTGACCCTGGCTATTGCATGGTGCTGGGGCCCTTGGATGCCCTTGGTCCACAGTCACCACAGTCACAACACTGCAGGAGTTGGTCCGGACACGTGATGCTGCACAAAGTCAAGTGGGAACTTTACAGAGGCGGTTCTGCCGCAGCGTCCGCAGCGTCGGCGAAATTCGGTATAGTCATGCTGGCTATGTCATGTTTGTAGCGATTTTGGAGGTGGCGCTTACTTGTGACGTGAATCTCAACCTCTCAAACTACGATTCTTTCAGAGGAATCGCAAGATTGATAGCAGTTGAGCATAGTTGAGCTATACGAGAGGCCGAGGCTAGGGCATGGGCAAAAAATGATCCCCAGATGGGCCAAGGTGGACATGAACTTCAGTCGGGATTTCATATTGCGCTAGTCCCACAGTGTTCCAGCTCATTCCGCAGGTCTTTGGATGAAGCAGTTGAGAGGAGTGAGACTTTGGAAATCAAATGTGTGAGTCCTAGAGCCGACGGAGGAGACACTGGCGACATCTTTCAATTAAGCTGGACTGCCACAGCATTTGCTCTTGGGGAAGATCGTTTGCCGCTACTAGTGCCCGTTTGAGGTGTTCAGCGAGCCGAGAAGCTCGAGCAGATGAGGAGAGCCGCGATGATGAAGCTTGCTCGTGACATCTCGTGACATCTCGTGACATCTCGTGTCGCTTTTGTTAAGTACTCTGTTGCTGAATGATTGAACCTTCAAGGACCATGATGGATGAGCAGGAGCACGAATCACAGCTCTTATTCAGCATAACAAATGCCAGCTGAAAAAATGCACAAATGACAAAGATATACAAATATGATCAAATATGCAACGCTCGTGACATGACAAGATTGTGAACCGTGCATGACAAACTCAATGCTACATGGCGGAGTCACCATATTTTGGAATCCGAACGCAAAGTCGGTACGCAGCAAGATGACATCCTCACAGCAAAGGTTGGAGCTGAGCCAGAAGATGGAAAGGGTGCGAGTCCAAGAAAGACATCGTCAGCGCACAGGGAAGCAGCATTTGGCAGAAGCAGCAAACACTGCATGCAGAACAGTTTATGATTCTTGAAAATTGACTGATAGAGTTAAAAACACCCTGTGTCATCTGTGTCTAATGATTGAAGACATTGGATAATCAGGTGCAACAATATGTGAAAGAGCGACAAGCAACTGCTTTGGTTGCTGAGAAGAAGCAACAGGCCACATCTGAACACACTAAAAAACATGCCTGTGCAGCAGACATGAGCATGTTTTTTGGTTGATTCACTGATATTCACTGCATGTCAGCATTTGTTTGCGACCTCGGCAGCAACCGGCCGCAGGATGCAGAGAAGATGGCCGAACGCTGGCAGAATGAAGTGCGCCGTTGCCAGGTGCCGGGCAACTGCGGTGGTAAGTTTTTGGTCGAATGCGTAAGGTTCCGAATGCAGGGAACTACAGGCTTTCTTTGGTTGATACGTTTATGATCTTTAATGATTGACCTACAGTATATTCACACCATCATTTTTTCCCCGGACGATAGCATTTTAAAAATGAATGTGCGTCTCAGAACACAGTGGATTTGATATGCAACACATACCTGTTTGTATAACGCTGACTGACACACTGCTGGCAAATGTTTCAAGTGCCCAAACACAGTTTCTCCATCCCAGAAACTCTTCAAATGTCTCGAGTTTGGGTTCCTCAAGCAGCTTCTTCAGGCCGAGAAGGAACGACTCTCGAGCTTGGTGATGGAGCTGGAAGGCACTGGTATTTCCAGGATTCCAGCCTTGGGGATCACATTCCCCTATTGGAAACTGGAAAAATCTAGGTTGTTTCGAGCTTCGGCACATGGGCCAAGATTGTAGCCTAGGAACAGATGGTACAGAAAAGGCGACCACCAGTGCCTCTATGATCCTGTGTTCAGCATCCCCATAGGCAAAAGTCTCCACCTTTGCCAACATGGCGCCCAGGAACCATCGATAGCGTATTCTAAGACCCAATGACAGCACACTCTTGTGCTTGCCCTCTCATATTATTCGATCCGCACCACATGCACAACTATGTTCACAGGGAGATATATAATGATATATACCCATTGCTGGCGAGATCGGAGGTTGAAAGACTGAATTTGGCTTGCATGTAGTTCTGAAATCTGAGACCCAAGGATCCCAAGGCCGCCTTGGCCAGAACAAACTATGTCAAAAGGATCCTGTACTTTTCTTCAGATTTGTTCTCTTCCAGAAACGGCTATGCCACAGTTCCTGATGGCGACTTGCAGGGCGCCACACTGGACAAGCAGAGCAGTGGCAAGGTGCTGTGGAGCGACACCGCCGTGAGGCCTGACGTCCTGAAGGACTTGAGGTGTTCATCAAAGACAGCATCCCCCCACCGGATGAAGTGCTCATCATGCGTCAAAATATGTCAAAAATTGTCAAAATACATGCAGAGAACAGGAAAGAAGATTGAAAGCTTGATTCAGACTTCAAAGATCTTCAAAGTCAAGACACTTCCAGGATGTTTTGGTTTGTCATTTGATGTCATTTGTAGTCGATAAAGGCACCATGATGAGATGGGCATCATTTGCACCCGTTCCGGAGGTCACCGCATTGGAAGATGCCCTCAGAAAGCCACTGGGCGATGATCACATTGACCACTCCAAAGCACATGACGCTAATCTGAATCGCTTGAAACATCTTGGGACTAGATTTCACAAAGTAACCTTTTTTGGGGTGACCTTTTTTGGGATCATTGGGATCATGCATTTTGAACCAGAGGATCAAAGATAGCTAGATAACTTCTACACTGAAGCGACTGCACATTTCATTTTGAATGCAGGAGAACCTGTACATTCTTTGGAAAGGTCATCTGACCTGAATAATTTCTCTACACTGCTGGAGATCCATCCTTGTGATTGGTAAGTTTTGCATACGTAAAAGTGAATTCAGCATTGGCATTGATGGTCCTGTTTTAAAAAGAACCGCATAACCGCATGACTAGAGCTCAGTACACTGTACTTTCACCCGCTTTAGATGTTTTTTTTGTATGTGCCGATCTTTTTTCTTGAACAACCGACATCCAACAGTAAATTTGTCATGATATGGAAGGTATGCATCACTGCAAGCGGTCACTGTCTGAATCTCTGGGATTTTGCAAGCATGAAAGCTGAAGGCAGGAGTCAGAGATGAAGGAGGCAAACTCCGAAATACTTTCCAAGAGAGACGAGGTGCATTGGGAGGGGTAGTGTTTGAGTGGTGTCATCACAAACATCTAAGACCAGAAAACCTTGTTACTTGAGTTGGGTCGAGCTTGGGCTTGGTGATATTTGCTTCTTGCATGGTTGCATTGAAAAGGACTTGTGCGTTAGCTTTTAAACGCGATGAAAATTTCAAGATGGTGCTGAAGGACAATAGTCGAACAGTTGAGTTCCATGGCGTCACCGCACCTCCAAATGCAGCTTGAATGGTCCTCAGTCCCACTAAATTTGATGAAAAGTGGAGGTAGGTGGCAGATCTTGTGACTTTCCCTGTGACAGGAATACCACGCAAAGGCGGGGCACTGAGGCCTTGTCCAGGTGAATTCAATCAGATGAGAATTCTATGATGCCGACACAATTCACTACAAAAACCGACCTCCTGATGCATTCTATGTACGTGCTCCTACTGAGCACTCGTGGTGTGCCGCAGCCTTTGAGTGCTACCAATGCATGCTTAGGTGGCTCTTGAAAAGCAGCGGGAAAAAGAACGCTCTATTGCCCTCCTCAAAAAAAAAGAGCAAGAGGCGTTGCAAGGGATTTTGAGCTTCGGTTGAGTCTGTCTATGATGACCATTTGTTGCCATTTGTCCATCACATTTCTGGCTGCCTTCGCTTGTTGAGAGGTTCACATTAAGGACCAACAGCTGCGGGCAGCCAAACAGCGTATCCAGGACAGCTTGCACCATTTTTGCCCCTTTGGTCCCACCATGGATGAGCAGGATGCTTTTTCCTTCCAGGGACAAGCCGAGCTGATATTCTCAGCCGTGTCACCACAGATTTTCAGGAGCTGGAGAGCGAGCTTCGGATACCAGGTGGGGGGGACTTTTCGACGCATGTTGTCAGTTGAGCTGAAGTTTCGCAGCAGATTTTTTCTTTTTCGGAGCTCTCTTTGGCACCTTTTGCAGGCGACGTACCTGTTGACAAGCGATCTAAGGAAGTTCGCACGCATCTTAGTCATTTCAATCCAACCTTGCACCAACCATAACAGATGCACGTAAGATGCAGAAACATGAGGGAGATCTTTTGTTTGTACATGATTGATCATGATTGTACATGCAGATGGAGCGCCTTAAAGATGATAGCCCCAACGAGTTACATTGGAAGCGGCCCTGAAAGATGATGAACTTTACCCGAGTCTTGAGGTGGTGATACGAGCCTTCCACCGTTGCTTTCAGCTCGATGACATCTGAACAAATTTCTAGGGTGCCAAAGTGCCCCGCTCCATGCAGATCTGATTTCCAATCCAAACGATTTAAAAGATGAGCTGGCGCAAGAAGTGCTAGTGCTTTTGCTGTCACTTTGTTCTTCAGCTTCTTTTGTAGTTTCACTGCACGACCTGCAGTGCATAGACAAAGGTTGCAAGACGCAGCCTTTTTGAGTCAGAATGTACCCAGCATGAAGCTTCGGCAGTGTTGAAATGTGTTGGCAAAGGACCACCTTGGTAGACAAAGTGAAGCCAACCAAAACCGCTCACAGACATTCACAAACGATGAGTCGGGAGCTTAGCACCTATAATAGGGCTAGCTGGGGTTCGATGTTTTGACACTTGCTGGCAAAGGACTTCACGACTCTGCTTTCAAGTAGAGGTGTATTGAATATTGAAGCTCTGGTGCAGAAAATTGGAGTCTTACATTTTTTCCTTTAAGGGCTAGAGGAGAGTTGAAAAGGTTGGGTGACTTGCCGAATGTTCTGAACTCCAGGATGCCCAGAATTTTCAGGCATGTGCAGAACAGCATGCGAGAGACTCAGTTGTATTGGAACAGGCAAGCAGCCACGGCGTTGTACCAGTCCCACAACTTCCCTAAGATATTTATATGGCTCCACATTTCATTCATGATGAGATATGGACTTGCAATGTCCATCAAAGAGCACAACAAGTATCAGACGTCAAAGATTGTCAAAGAAATTCCGGTGTTGATCACACCTTTTGCATCCTTTTGCGATACATTTGCCTGTAGAGCTGTCACCCAGCAATGGTTGCCCGCTCGATGACATCGAAGGTGGGACCTTACAGTGGCAATTACAGTTACAGTGAAGTGGAGAACGAGTAGACTGGAGTAGACATACTCCACGTTCATCAAAGACACCCCTTCGGGATTTTGCAGTTGAAAGCGCTCATTTTAGAAGTGTTCCCCCGTAGCACTTTACTGATAGATGATGCAACTCATAGTTCCACTTTATGACTTAGGACTTCAATTCTTTAACCAGCACATGGCACAGTCAGATTGTTTGTACTAGTGTCAGTGTATGGAGTGTTTTCCATGCATAACCTTGATGCGATGGGGAATTTTCTATGGAAATAGCCTGCAATAACCTCTAAACTTCAAAGAACGGATTGCTGTACTAGAGGTGTTGTTGGCAAACATCCTGGGGCCAGTATATAATTACAGGCACAAGAGAGGACGGACATTTAAGGACTGGGCAACGAAGGCTCTTCGGCCGTCAGTTCAAGGTAATAGGTCTTCTGAGCTGGTTTTTGAAGTGAAGACACTTTTTACGACAGCATCAAGAAGAGCCAGTTCAGAATCCATTTACATAACGGCAGATGCTTTTTCTTCCTCTCTCTTTCTCTCTTTCTCTCTTAGGAGCCTGTGCAGTCTGAGCGGAGATCCAAGAGAGCTGTTGCCCAGGTGGGTCAGGTGGGTGCTCAGAGCGCCTACTCTGGCTTCAAAGCCGTTTGGCTTTTTGTTCATTCAGTAAAATTGGCTTCCTCCACCTCGTTTCATGTTTATGTGCAGCTTCAAGCAGGTGGCCAAGCAAGCAGCTGGCTGAAGCACGACGCAAAGGCATCACGAGCATTTGAGGTTTCCTCACATGTTGGTATGAGCTGGAAGATGCTGGCTGCTGAATCATTGAGAGTTTCGGGAACTAGAAGGTAAATTCATGTAAATTCCCTCGTGAATCTTATAGTTGGTGGGGTTCGCGCAAGTCAATTTGCATGCTGAAATCTCCAATCAGGCTATATCAGACTCCTTTGACTTGGACTGATTTTGCGATGAAGGTATAAGGAATTGTACAGAGCTACAGGTGGGACATGGTGGGACCATGCTTGTGACTTACTGTTTTGAAGCTCCCAGCTTGCAGGTGACCCTCTCACAGCAAGTACAGGTGAGCCTGGAATGCCACGGAATGCCATGTCAGATACGAATTGCAGAGGTCTGTCAATTTGACGGAAAGGAATGCCATGGGAATTTGCTGCATTGTGGAGTTTCATTGCAGAGAGCTCATGTTGTGTCGGCACAGCTGCTAGGTCCTGCAAGAGGAGCTTGACAAGTCGCAGAAGGAATGCGAAGCTATGGCTAGGAACCAAGACCATTGCGACTTGCCAACTTTTGACAACATGGATACGCACTTCATGTCTCTTCAAACCAATTGGAGCACTTTGCAATGTATGGCTGCTACCAGCTTTGCAACCCTTTGCTCCAAGGGTTGGCGGGATTGGCCTGCCCATCAAATCTAACCATGATGCGTCAAACAGACACCTTCAATAGACATCGTTGCTGGAACCAAAACAGCGTGTCCAACGTAACTGAGGCCTCTGAGTTGGAGGAGGTGCAGGCCACGCTGCGACAAAGGTCTCTACACATACAATCCAATCCAATTCAATCCTCTCAGAGTGGAAACGTGTGGAGGGATGGGATTCTCCAAATCTGAGGTTGAGCTTCTTCACGCATTGGCTCCAGCTTTCGCCTGTTTGTGTCACATCAAAGTCTAAAAGCGCCACCTTGCCATGTCTCTGCGCGCATCCCGCCATGCTTCCGCCTTGCGGCGGATTGCCAAAGACCTCAAGGAGCTGGAGAGGGAGCCGCTGCCGCTGGTAGCTGCTAGACCCATGGATCCTGCTGAGCCATTTCGGTGGCATGTGAACCTTCGACCCTGCGACGGTCCGCTGGCGGGCTGTGTCTTTCATTTGGTGATGGATTTGCCCGAAGACTACCCCTTCACTCCTCCCAGCATCCGTTTTCCAACGCAGCACTTCCCATCTTTTCGCCATCCGAACCTGTTTGGGGATATGATCTGCCTTGATATCTTGCAGAGCTTCATCGGTAAGCATGATCAGAAAGCAGGTTGGAGCACTGCTTACACTGTGCAAACAGTGCTGCTTCAGTTGGCATCCTTCCTGTTCGAGACGGAGCATGTGCCTCAAGATCATGGTGGTACTTACAAGGGCAAGATGACACCGCTGCTTGCACGAAAGGTTAGGGAGCAATGTGAGAAGTTTCAGTGCCAAGAATGTGGTCATTGTTTCCAGCAGCCGCTGCCTCCACTTCTTCCCTTGGACCTTCCTGCACCGTTGGAGCTGATAGAGCCCCCCATTGTGCCCATCGTGCCCAGGGTCCCTGCTGTGGCAATGGGGAAAGAGAAACGGCAAGTGTTGCAGTCAGGGGATTTGGTCACTGCCTTCGTTTCGAAGCTGCATTCCAAGGGCTTTGTGGTCCAGCTGCCAAACCATAGTTTCAATGGCTGGTTACCCTGGAGCTCAGCACTTCGTGGTTGCCAGCTGGCATTGGGGCAGCAGATTGTGGCCCACGTCACTGGCATCCAACGTGAGTGGATTTGGTTGCAGCTGGTGCCACGTCGTTCACAGCAGCAGTTGATGGAGCTGATGAGATCAGCCAAACCTATCCAAGGGCTGATCGTTTCCATCAAATCCTATGGGATTTTTGTGGATGTTGGTGTAACCTCTCCTGGCCTGGTCCATGTCTCTGAATTGGACGTTGATGTGGCAGAGTTGGAGGTAAAAACCTTAGTGCAAGTCCGAATCCTTGAGGTTGACTCGCCCAAAGGTCTGAAACTGACAGCCCGAGGAGGTCCCTTCCATCGCCCACAGCCAGTGAAGGATCAGGTTCGACAGGATCAAGATGATCAAGTTCACCTCCAACCGCAGCTGTGGTCACACGATTTGCCCGGCCCAGCAGCGGAGACCGTGTTGCAGCTTCTGCCCTTGGGGTCTCTGCGGCAGTTGGCCCGATGCTCCAAGACCTGGAAGCTTCCGGCTGAAGAGGCAGTGTCCATCTACTTCGATTTGAAGCAGTTGCGCTGCTTCCACACCAAGACTGCCTTTGATGAAGCAGACACTCTTCTGGGCCTGGGAGTTGCCATCACGGAGGAATCCACTGGGAAGCAACACCTCACCTGCGACTTTGATCCCTTATCCAGGGAAGCCTTCTTCGACTTGCAGGTCTCAAAAGGTGTCTGGAAACAGCCCATCCGTTATTGGATCCCATTGGCTATCTGCAGAAGTCATTTCAATCGTGGCCTCCCTAAGCTGTTGGAAGTTCTCTCTGAGCTGGGCACTGGCCAGGTGGCGGAACAGACCAAGTCCCATGGAATCGGCTCATCTGGGCGACGAATGGTGCATGAGAATCAGGTGGCTCCAGCCTCTAGCGTCATGACATTCGCGGAGTGGCAAGCTCAGCGAGAAGCACTGTTCGAACGTCAGCGTCGTGATCGACTTGCCCGGGAGGAGCGCGGCTTGAGCTTGGAGCAATGGCAGAAGGAGAAAGCTGCTGCTGCCAAAGCCCGAGCTGCGGCCAAGGAAAAAGCTGCAGCAAAAGCTGCAGCAAAAGCTGCTTCTGGAAGTGAAAGCACTGCAGTGCGCACCTTGCCGTTGGACCAATCGGCAGCCATGGATGTCTTGACGAAGCTGATGAATTCACAGATTGTTCTGCTGATGAAGGGCGACCTGCATACATCAGAGAAAGCTCTGGCAGGGTACATGGCTTTCCATCACACCTTGCTTCTCTTGAAGAGCCGTTACGAAACTTTCAATGATGCCATTGAAACAAAAGTTCGGAGCTTCTTGCAGGGCGAGGAGATGAGAAGAAAGGATCAAGTGCCGAACCTCGGGGAATTTATTTGCCTCCTGTCGGTGTCGGATGAATTCAGCTGGGACGACCTGGCTGTGCCCATCCTGGATGAAACCTTTGATCGGGGAGTCTTGTGGTTGGTGAAAGCTTTCCCCCGCTTCGCCACCATGAACGAAGTGGAGGAACGCGTGGAGAAAACCTGGGAGACCAGCAGGGTATCTCGTCAGCTGTTGATGTTTCACGCATGGTTCCTTCACAACATTGCTCACATCCGGCATCATCATGCAACTGGCGAATGCAAAAAAGCCAGCTGTTTGTTGGAGCGCTATGAGCGCACCAAAGGTTTGCCACTGCAATCCACAGTGACCGCCCT